CCCAGGAACAGCTTGTGCCCAGTTTTCAGGTGACGTTGCACAGGGGTGAGCCTGGTGTGGGCCAGGCTGTGCCCATGACTCCGGGTGGACACGTCCCAAGCTCCTCAACCTGCCTGCCATGGTGAGACCCATAGAAGGGGGGAGCCAGGATCCCTGGCCATGCAGCCCAGCACCCGATGGGGCTAGCTCCCCCACGTGGGGTCTGCACCCCGACACTTGCCCCACTGTTTCCCTGCTAAAGAACCATAGAATCACAGAACGGTTTGGGTTCGAAGGGACCTTAAAGCTCATCCAGTTCCAACCCCCTGCCACAGACAGGGACACCTTCCACTAGACCAGGTTGCTCCAAGCCCCATCCAACCTGGCCTTGAACACTGCCAGGGATGGGGCAGCCACAGCTTCTCTGGGCAACCTGTGCCAGGGCCTCACCACCCTCACAGGGAAGAACTTCTTCCTCAGATCCCATCTCAATCTCCCCTCTGTCAGTTTAAAGCCATTCCCCCTTGTCCTGTCCCTGGTCTGGCACAGCCACACTCACTCCACTGCTCCTTGGGGTGCTCACATCCCAGGCGTGGGAGCCACAAGCCAACTCTGGCAGAGCCACCCAAGCACTGGCACTGCCCTGGGGCTGCACCAGCATCCAGTCCCCAATGGTGCCCAGGCTCTGCATCACTCCCTGCACTGAGCAGCTCTGGCTAGCACTGCCAGCAGTCGTGGTGGCCACAAACTGGATCCCCACCTGCATGGACAGAGCGCAAGCCCCAGCTCCCTGCACCCCAAAATGGTCCTCAAGGCTGGGGGGGGCATGGGGGGGAACATCAATGTGCCGCGGCTCCCCTGCCCGCTCCCGAGGACCAGAGTGCAGGAGACCACACAGAACCCCTGCAGCCCCTCACTTCTTGGGCAGCACCCATGCCCATGACTGAGGCTGCCAACTGTGGGGTTGGCCTCATGGCATAGTCCAGCTGCTCCCACTCCCTCCTGCCCAGCTCATCTGCTTACTCTGGGACACCCCCAGGAGATCCCGCTGCCCCGAGAACCTCCTGAGTGCGCACCCCATAGAGGGAGCTGGGCCCCGCATCCCACCACCACCGCAGCGGACACTGTAGGATGGAGCTGGGCTGGGACACGGCTGCCCACAGCACGGCTCCCACCCCGGCAGGGATTTTCTAGACGCTGTAACTTTAGAAGCCACCACCAAAAATATCCTTCCCTGTCCCCGTACCGTGACCTCGAAACCGCCGGATCTGGGGGATGAATCACGGCACTGCATAGCTCCATACCCACACCCATCACAGTGCCACCACCGTGGGGAGGGAGGTCACAGCCAGAGCGGGCATGGCCACCCCAGTCCAGGGCTCCCTGATGGCTGCCAGCCCCACCGCGACCCCTCTGGCCAAGCCTGGAGAGGCCAGGGCCCCCTGTACAGCATCAGACCCACGGTGTGCCTCTGCCCATGGCAGGAGGGCTGGAACTAGATATCTTATGCTCCTTTCCAGTCCAAACCACTTTATGATTCTATGTGGCACCAACCCCCAGTATGGCACCTGACCCCCTCTGTGAGGCTCCTGCCGGGTGTCCCCACCACAGCTGCCTCTCACAGGGGTCTGCTGCCCCTATGCCACAGTGCTGGGCTCCATGTGCCACCCTGGGGACACCCAGCAGCACTGACTCCTTGCTCCTGGTGGCTGCTGTGGGACCCTGTCTGTGGGGTGAGCTGGATACAGCCCCACACCATCACCCATGGCAGGGCTGAGGGGTCTGCACTCACCCACTGCAGCTGTCGGGGAGGTGTGAGCCTGGATGCACCATTCCCTGCTCCCCACCGGCCCCGGCCCCGGCCCCGGCCCCGGCCCTGGCCGGCAGCTCTGCCCCACTCACCCCATTACCCGCCGACCCGGCAAGGCTGCGGCTCCAGCTGCGCTCCCGCTGCCGCGGGCTCCCCACAGAGGCTGCAGGCCCCGTGTCCCCGGGATGGGGACCTGCCCCAGCAGGGAATGATGCGGGGCTCTCGTCCAGCGCGACCCCCTCTCCCGTGGGCCACCCCGTGCAGCCGGGTGTGGGGCAGCGCGCAGCCGTTCTCTGCCCCACTGTGAGGAGAGCTGCCGAGCGCCGGCCGCTGCCGACGGCTTTTATACCGGCGCAGGAGAAAAAAAACTGGGCAGCGGCAGCAGCGCTGAGCCTTTGTTTCGGCAAGCCTGCACCAGGCCACTTTATCCAAACACAGCCGCCGTGCCAAGGCCGGGAACGGCTCCTCGGGCAGCCACACCTCTGCACCGCGGCTCCCGCTGGGCACGGGGGCAGCCAGCGGCGAGCGCCGGCAGCCGGGAATGGCCAAGCGCCAGCGGAGAGGCCGCGCTTCTGCCCCATGGAGCGGCCGGCCATGGGGGGACGTAGAGGAGATGCAGACCCCAGCCCCACGAGTGCGGCGGGCAGGAAAGGGCGTGAGAGCTCAAGTCCCTCAAGGGCAGAGAGTGAGGAGGAGCTGGGGGCAGCCCGTCTTCCCCCCCCCGCCGGCCCCGGCGCCCCTGGCAAGCCCCAGCGCGGCGTCCTCAGGCAGCCAGCCCAGTCCCTGCGGCCACCCGTCCCCTCTCATGATAGGGGTGGGCTTGCGGGGGCTGCGCCAGGGATGGCAGCCAGACCCCCCCAGCCCCACAGCCCGGCACGGAGACCTGGTCAAGCAGCAGTTCCCACGGCCCCCTCCCTTCCATCGGTGGGATGGTGTCCCCAGGAAGGGGGTCACGGCGGGACCACCCCCGTCCCATTGCCGGGAGCCCTGTATCCACCCCGCAGCTCTCACTGTAGCAGCACGGGGCACAGCGGGGCAGGGAGAGGAAGAGAGATGCGGGTTGTCCTTCACCAGCGCAGGGACCCCTCCGGGCCGACCCCACAATACAGCTTCACCGGCTGACACCCACAGCAGCCCAGTGGCATGATGGGGGGATGAGGCCGGGGGGGGGGCATGATCTCTGGGGGGACATGAAGCCAGGCAGGACGTAGCACCCAGGGTGGAGAGCAGTGAGGGGCACAGGGCAAAGGCCACCCAGCACAGCCCCTGCCCGGGCTCAGGGCCAGCCCAGCTCCTGGCCCCTGGCCCCCGGTCCCCGTGGATGCCGGGACGGAAGGGCTGCCCACAGTGCAGTGCGGATACCGGTGCCAGGAGGGTTGTTAGGGCAATCACATCCCACGCTCCTGGCAGGCGCTTGAAGCGGTGCAGTGACCCTGAAAGGCATGACACCCCACGAATTCCCACAGTGGGACCCTGCAGACCTTGCACAGAGCCACTGCAGGGGGGGGGGACAGGGCATACACCCCTCCCCACAGCCCTTGGACCACCAGCAAGCTGCCAACACAATTTCCACCAGGAGCAATCGGGCGCCCTGACACCGGTTCAGAGACCATGGGGGTCTCTCCAGCAGATATGTGGAACAGCCCTGTCTGCCCCTGGGGATAGGCTCTGTGCCTGTATTAAGTGACTGCCATGGGCTCTCCTGGTGTCCCCCAGCCCTGTTGCCCCCTCCCCGTGGGCTCTGGGCAGAGCGGTCCCCGCTCCGGAGCCATGGGAGCCCACACCAGCGCGGAAGTGGGAAACCAGCGGGGCCTGGACCCATGCCCAGCGTTGCTCAACCCCTGGCAGCGTTTCGCAAGCGGGCAGCGCTACTCACCACCCAGCACGGCACATGGCGGCTGCTGGCAAGCACCCTGCCGGGCGGGAGCCAGCCCCTTGGAGACAGCTTTGTGCCACCCCTGGGGACACGCCTGGATGGGGCAGAGCCACAGGATGCTCCCTGTGCTTGGAGGGAGCTGATGGTGTGGGGTGGATGGCTGCTTCCAGCCTCATGTTTCTCACCTGCCGAAGGTTGCTGCTGGGCTCAGAAGCCGGGAGAGAAGGGCATGGAGCTGCTTCGTGTTGTGCCGGTACCCACTAGGAAATAAAGAGATGCCAAGGGCTGAAGCACAAGAGCTGGGTCCAGCCTCAGTGGCACAGCTGGTGCAGGTGACGGGGTGAGGCCGGGGTGCAACGCCCTAGACAGGGCACCGTGGACCCCGGTGCAGGTTGGCAGGAGAGGGTGCAGGGGTCCCAGGAGGGTGCCAGTAATCAGCAGTACTGCTTCCTCCCCTGCCGGAGGAGCTGGGGGACACAGGAACAGGGACCACGGAGCCTCCCAGACCCCCCAGCCTCGGGCCGAGCACACCGGGATATCACAGGTGGCAGAAGGGGGAAAAAGGGGCCTCGGCCGCACCGGTACTCGGGGCCCCAGGAGGAGCTGCCGGGCCGGTGCAGCTGCCCCAGGGCCCCATCCCGGGATGGGGCGCGAAGCGGGACCGGGGCTCCCGCAGCCGGTCGGGCTGTGCCAGCACGGGACGGAACGGGACAGATGAGCAGGGGCTCGCAGGCGTGCAGGGAGCGGGACACGGACAGCACAGGGACGGGACCGGACGGAACCGGACTGAACTGAACCGGACCGGACCGGACCCGACCAGACCGGACCGAACCGAACCACACCGAACAGAATCGAACCGAACCGAACCAGCCCCACCACCTCCCGCTCCTGCTCCCACCTCTTACCGGAGAGTCCCGCCGAGCCGGGCGGGTCTGCGCGGCCCCGCGGGAGAAGCGGCAGCGGGAGCGCGCCGGGGTGGGGCGGCACCGGGTAGGTCGGCACCGGCACCGGTCCCGGCTTCAGCACCGTCTCTGGCGGGCGTGGTCACCGATTCTCCTCGAGCCCCACGCGGGTCCCTGTTGCGGCCGGGCCCCGTTCCGCAATGCTCCGGGGCGGGAGAACGGGCAGAGCCGGGGATCGAACCCGGAACCACGGCGGGCGCGGGGGGGTTGGGGGTGAAGGTGTGGCGGGGGGCGTGGCCAGCGAGGAGAGGTGTGGCGGAGGGGGCGTGGCGGGCGCAGGGGATGCCGGGAGGTGTGGCGGAAGAGGCGGGGCTGCCGCGGGGGCTGCCGGGAGGTGTGGCGGCGGCGGGGACAGGACCGGGACCGGCTCCAGGGATCGAGGCGGGGAGCGGAGCCGTAGCGGCGGGGCCGGAGCGGATCGCGGCGCGATGCAGAAATACGAGAAGCTGGAGAAGATCGGGGAAGGTGCGGCGGGGCCGGGCTGTGCAGGGGTCCCGGGTGGGTGCGGGAGCCCGGAGCCCGGTGCCGGAGGCTGGCGTGGCAATGACCCGTCCGCCCGCCCGCAGGCACCTACGGGACCGTGTTCAAGGCCAAGAACCGGGAGACGCACGAGATCGTGGCGCTGAAGCGGGTGCGGCTGGATGATGACGACGAGGTGAGGGGATCGGGGACCGGCACCCGGAGCCGATACCGAATCCGGTTCCCCCCCATCACTCCCCTCTCTCGGCAGGGAGTGCCCAGCTCGGCGCTGCGGGAGATCTGCCTGCTCAAGGAGCTCAAGCACAAGAACATTGTCAGGTAACGGGGACTGTGAGGGTGGCGGGGTCTGTCCCCCCCCCCTCCCCGGTCCCACATCCTTCCCTCTCCGGTCCTGCATCTCCTTCTCCAGTCCTGCATCTCCCTCTCCGTGGTCCTGCATCCTTCCCCCTCTCTGGCCCTGCATGTCCCCTCCAGTCCTGCCCTCACTGCCTGGGCTCGGTTCCCCCGGTCTGGAGCCTCAGGGTCCCCCTTCCCCTTGCAGGCTCCACGACGTCTTGCACAGTGACAAGAAGCTCACCCTGGTCTTTGAGTTCTGCGATCAGGTGAGTGCTGGTGCCACAGTGGTGCCAAGGCCAGGTTGGGGTCGCTGCTCCCAGTCCCCGCAGCTCCCCAACACGGCTCTGCTCACTTTCTCCAGGACCTGAAGAAGTATTTTGACAGCTGCAATGGGGACCTGGACCCAGAGATCGTCAAGGTGCATCCAGGGGGGCTCTGGAAGCCCTTGGGGACCCAGTCGCAGCATCACCAGCTGTCACAAGAGCTAGCCTGACAGGGCTGATGTGTCCCACTCAGGACCGTGCTCTTTTCCACAGTCGTTCATGTACCAGCTGCTGAAGGGCCTCGCGTTCTGCCACAGCCGCAACGTCCTGCACCGAGACCTCAAACCCCAGAACCTGCTCATAAACAGGGTGAGTGCTGGGGCGGTGTGTCTGTGTGAGGTGCTGGTGCTGTCTGTCCATCTGCCGCTCTGCCTGTCCCTCGTGTTTCTGGTCAACGGGAAGCGATGAAGGAGGAGCGGCTGCCAAAGGGTGGGCAGCAGGACAGGGTGTCCCCTGCGCCATCCCCTTTGCTGTCCTGCTGACATGGCGCTTTCACCGCAGAATGGGGAGCTCAAACTGGCTGACTTTGGCCTGGCCCGGGCCTTTGGCATCCCTGTGCGCTGTTACTCGGCAGAGGTGAGCTGGAAGGTGTACCCATCCCCTTCTCCTACCAGGGGAGCTTGGTTCCATCCCACAGCCGGCCCTACATCTCCCCCTCCCTCCGCACAGGTCGTCACGCTGTGGTATCGGCCCCCAGACGTGCTCTTCGGCGCCAAGCTCTACTCCACCTCCATCGACATGTGGTCAGCCGGCTGCATCTTCGCAGGTAGTGCCGGCGCAGGGGGCTGCGGCGTGGGGGGCTGCCGGGGCCGTGCGGCCTCGGGACCCATGTCCTCTCTGGCTCCTAGAGCTGGCCAATGCGGGGCGGCCCCTGTTCCCGGGGAATGACGTGGATGACCAGCTGAAAAGGATCTTCCGATATCCTTCCAGTGCCACAGGAGGGGGGCAGCCCCTTTTCTGTGCAGGGGATTGAAGGGGGGGGGCTCTGCCTGGGTTAGGCTGGGGGGAGCTGGGGATGGCTGACTCTCACGCTGGCCGCAGTGGTGGCCCTTGACCGCTGTTGTCCCCACGCTGCTGGGAACCCCCACGGAGGAGCAGTGGCCGGCCATGGCCAAACTGCCCGACTACAAGGTGAGGCAGGGGCAGGCTGGGGGGGCTTAGGGCCAGGGATGGGGTCTGGGTCTCAACTCTCCATCCCCAGCCATACCCCATGTACCCGGCCACCACCTCCCTGGTCAATGTGGTGCCGAAGCTGAACGCGACCGGCCGGGACCTGCTGCAGGTGAGCCTGCACCCCACTTCTTGGGGTGCTGCCCTCTCCCCCTGAGGGGCTGTGGGGCCCGTGGTTCAACCCCCCCAGCCTCACCTTCTTCCCGCAGAACCTGTTGAAGTGCAACCCGGTGCAGCGGATATCGGCAGAGGAAGCTCTCCAGCACCCCTACTTCACAGACTTCTGCCCCCCATAAGGACTCCAGACACCCACCCAGCCCCACACTGAGTGGGGGGCAGCACCCAGCTCCCAGCACGCTCCCGGCAGTGGTGGGGAGGGGACAGCCCCCCAAGGCAGCTGGGGGGATGTGAGGTGAGGAGCAAGGTGCCGGCACCCCAGAAATGCAGCCCCCCATTCCCCTTGCCCCGTATTTATTAGGTTTTTAACTCAACACCGCCCCGGCTGTGGGATGCTGGAGTGGCCCGCCCAGCCCTATGGTGTGGCTGGGGCTACCCCTGGGGCTGCCCCCAAGCGCATGGAGTCCCCCCGGGGATGCGGGACCATGGTGATGGTGGAGGGGCAGGACCCTCTGGGACCAGGCATGGGGACCCCGGGGTGGGGGGGGGGGTGGGACCCCTCACCTCTTCTCTCTGTGCTCCCTCTGAGCCCCACCCCTGGCATGGTGGGGGTCCCGGGTGCCAGCTCCCCTGGGAACCGTGGGGGACACCCCATTTCTTTTCTACCGTGCTGCTGTACGTGGGTGATTGTGCGTGTTTGTTACCTCCATAAAGAGCTTCCCCCTTCCCAACGCCTGCTTCTCCTTCCTGAGACACTGGGGACCGCCCCCGCCACCAACCCTGTCCCTGTGTACCCCCCAGCAGCACACAAGCCAGGCCTTGGGGAAGGTCTTTAATGGGGTGGGGGGCACAGCAAGAGGACTTGGCATGTACAGCGCAGCAGGGAGGGGGGCCACGGGCGCAAGCAGCACATGCAGGTTCATGGGAGTAGGACCGGGGGGGCCCCGCCACCCCAGCCCCCTGCCAGCCCTTTGAGGGGGAGCAGCCTAGGGCCTGGAGCCAGCCCCGCAGCCCCATGGGGTGCCCCAGTGGCAGTGGGGGCCCCCCCAGTCCCCCGTCCCAGCCGGGGGTGCGGGGCCGGGCCGTCAGCAGGCGAACTCCTCGAAGGGGCCTAGAGCCGGGTGACGAGGTAGCACGTTCGGGGCGAAGGTGAGACTGTCCGCGTGGCAGCGCAGGGGGGCACAGGCGCCCTGGGGACAGGAGGGGTGGTTGGGGGCACCGGGGGAGCACGCAGTCACTCCCCCCACCCCATCATCCTGCAGCCGCCATCCTTCTCCCGCTGCGTTTGGCTCTGCCCCATTCCCCCTCCCCGTGCAACCCCTCAGGCCCCCGATATCTCGGGGTCCCTCTTGCCCTATAGCGTCTCAGTGGGGGTGATGGGATGGCTCCTTGCCAGGTCGGCCTGGCTGTGTGGGGCCCTGAGCAGGGAGACCCCAGGGACACAGTGCTGGGGAGTGATGCATGAGGATGGGAGCGGAGCTGGCAAGGGGGGTGACCCCCATAACCGGCTCTGGGGATGATGCCAAGAAAAGCCTGGGATGGAGTGAAGGGGGGTGCGGACCCTCGGGGCCCACCTGCATGGGAATTTGGGGGTTGCATCCTCCTTGCTGTGCCCCAGCCAGGGACCCCCCTCACCCTCCCTGGGGGGGCAGCCCCGTGGCTCCCCATGCTGGCAGTGCCAGGTTTGGGGCTCAGGGATGCTGTCTCTCCCTGGCGTGGAGCTGGGATGTCTACCTGGGCCCCGGAGGGAGCGGGACAGCGGGGCTGCCCGGGACTGCTGGGTGCTCCTGCCGGGCGGTGGGGTGCAGGACAGACGGGCGGATGGACAGACGGACAGAGAGGAGCGAATGAGTGCACAGGGTCCGAGCGGGAGATGGTGCCGGTCCCGGGCGGGATGAGGCCGAGCAGCAGATGGGTGGGATGAGGTGCGAGGCCCCCCCTTTGCCGGCTGTGCCAGGGGAGGGGGGTCGGGGGGCTGTGGGGGGGTTACCAGGGTGCTGCTGTCGCTCCTGGGGGTCTTCTTCTTCTCCTTGTAGAAGCTGAGGAGTTTGTCCCGGAAGACCTGGGGAAGGTGGGTCAGAGCTCCCGGCCGTGGGGCAGGTGTGGGGCAGGGGGAGCCGGGGGGTTCTCACCTCATACAGGTAGTCAAAGATCTCCAGGATGGTGAGGAGGCTGGCGCCGATGAAGAGCCCCATCTGCCCCCCGATATCGCCTGGGCGGGGGGGTGGCATTAGAGGGGGGCTGCCCCCCTGAACCCCCCCCCCCCCACACACACACCTGCCCCCAGTCTCCCCAGTCCCTCACCCAGCAGCCCAGCCACCTCGTACGCCTTCTTCTGCTCGATCATCTCATAGTTCAGGGCCTCAAAGAAGATGTCCAGCACCAGGACGTTGTCCCTGGGGGAGACACATGGGTCTGGGATGGACGGACAGATGTGCCATCAGGGCGCAAACCCAGCTATGGGGCTGCACTGCACCATGGTGGGGTGAGGCAGACGGGTCTGCCCTGCCCTGCGCTGGGCTGGCACAAAGATGTTCTATGCCATGCTGTGCTGTGCCATGCCATGCCATGCTTTGCTGCGCCATGCTGTCGTGTTGTGCCGTGCTGGTTCATTCATGCTGGGGGATGTAGCGTGGCCGTGCTGCGCTGTATCACACCATAATTGAGTCATAGGATCAACTGGGGTTGGAAAAGACCACCGGATCCAAGCGTTACCCCAGGCCTGCCAAGTCCACCACTAAACCATGTCACCGAGGGCCTCACCTACACCGTTTGGGAGCACTTCCAGAGGCGGGGATGCTGTCATGCCATGCCAGTTCATGTCTGCTGAGGCATGCCCTGCGGCCGTGCCATGCCGTACGACCCCGTCAGGCCATGCTGTGCCACGTGCTGCCGGGCCTGCAGTCCAGCGCGGCGGTGGTGGCACTCACGCGATGTACTGCTCCGTCTTGTTGAACTTCTTGGCCAGGTACCTGGCGGAGGCCTTGCTGGGGATCTTCACCATGGAGAGCTCTTTGCCGTAGCGCACCATGGCGCAGGGCGTGCGGCAGGCGCAGTAGTCGCTGTCCTTCTTCACCAGGAAGTCTGGGGGGGACGCGGGTGGGACGGGGACCACCGGGACCGTGTGGCCATGACACCAGCCCAAGTGGGGTTGTGGTGCTCCGAGGCCAAAGCCCGGGTGGTGGCGGGGGGACAAGCACGTGTGGGGTCTGAGCAGGATGGGACGGGAACAGGGACACTGGTGCCGCGCTTGCAGTGATGGAGCCTGGCAGGGGGTGGGGGGTCCAAGGGGTGATGCTGGGGGTGTGAGCGGATGTCGGTCCCAGGGGTCAGCCCCGGGATGCGGGGTGCCCAAAGGTACGTACCCAGTGCAGGGTCAGCGCACTCCTTGTACTGCTCCGGGGTGCAGACGTTGGCGTTGCCTGCGGGGAAGGCGGCGGTCGCAGGGGCAGGAGGGTCTCCCCACCGCCCCGGCCCTGCAGCAGCCGCCCCCCGGGCTCACCCGGCATGTGCACCATGCGGCAGTTGCAGTTCTCAGCCAGGTAGCGGGTCTCGCAGTCCAGGCGGCAGGCGGTGATGCTGTAGTTGGTGAAGAAGTCGGACTCGATGGGGGTGGCCTTGCAGTCCCCCCACGGTGGGGGCAGGTACACCAGCTGCCAGCCCTCGGCTAAGGAAAACACGGTGTCCAGGGCGTCCCCAGTGTCCCACCCGCTGTGGTGCCCGTCCATTGGGAAGAGCTTATCCCATGCAGCCAGCGCTTGGGGCTCATCCCGCTCCCTGCCCTGCCCCTCTTTGCTGGGCACCAGGATGGGTTTCATCACCCAGTGGGAGGGAAGGATGCAGGTGAGGGCTGGTACACGGCACCAGACTCGACCCCAGTGGTCCCCGTGGTGGGCAGCAGAGATATGCCATGGCTGGTGTGGGTTCGGGTGCGTGCTTGGTGAGGCAGCAGCACCCACTGGTGCCAAGGGCCACATTCCCAGCCACCTGCACTGCGAGCGCCGGCACACATGGAGACACCCACTCCAGGCACCTAAATTTAGGTGTCTGGCTGCGTGGGCTGGGTGCCGCCCCTGCTGACGGTCTGTTCAGCAGGAGATGGGGGGGTCACCGCGGAAGCCAGTGCCTGCAGCAGCACCATGGGGCTGCCCCACACTGTGCCACGGTGCTGCACCGGTGGTGTGGTACCCACCACGTGGCACAGCTCAGCATAGGATGTCCAGTGGGGACGGCTGCGGCCGTGCGGGCACTGCCCGAGCCCCGGGGTGGCTGTGCCATTGCCATGCATGGGATACCCGCTGCTGCTGGCAGGACACGAAGGTCTGGAAGCCGGGCGCCACGCCGAAGCCCAGCTGGTCAATGAAGGGGGGCTCCTCCTGGCTGTGGATCTGCACCTTCACCCCCGCCTCGTAGGAGGTCTCGTCTGCAAGGCAGGGCGGGCGTCAGGAGCGCGGGGCGGCGGCAGGGCCGCGGGCAGGGCTGGGGGGTCCCTCACCCGTGTCCCCCCAGACGGGCAGGTATTCCTCCTGCTGCACGTTGAGCATCAGCTCCAGGCCGTTCCCCGCACCGCCCTGCAGCGTGGTCAGCACCTCCCGGCCAGGGCCCCCCGAGTTGAAGGTGTAGCACTTGCCCAGGCGTGTGAAGATCTGTGGGGACACGGCTGGGGACTCAGCGTCCGCCATGGGGCCACCATTGGGATGCTGGGGAGAGGGGCTGGGGCCTCTGCCCCACACCCACCGGACTGGAGTGGGGTGCAGCACCCAGGGATCCAGCCCAGTCCCAAGGCAAAGCCCGGTGCAGAACCCCAGCACCCCCTCAAGTCCATGTGCAGGGAAGGAGCTGGCACATCCATCCCTTCCCATTTGGGACCAGCATGGGGCTGTGGATTGAGCTGTGGGGCAGACACTGCTGTCCCTGCTCCAGCACAGTGTCATCGGCTTTGCCAGGCCCAACACCCTTCAGGATTCTCCACTGGGGAGCAGGGCTGAGAGCTGCACGCTCCAACCATCACCCCCCCAAGCCTGCAGTGCAGCTTCAGCCCCACATCCCCAGTGACTCCACATCACCACTATGGCCCCACATCTTCCCACAGAAGATGCACTGTGGGCAAGAGGAGCCCCACTGGGGCAGCTTCTCCAAGCCCCTGGGGGTAGGGGACAGTAGGGTGGGCAGGCACGGTGCCCTCTTCCCACCACTGCCCCACAGCCAACCATGCCACAGCCACAATCCATAGCCCCAAAGACTGTGCACCCCGTGGCCCCACAGAGCGCACACAACCCATTGCCCCACAGCTTGTGCAACCCCACAGCCACCCACACCGCGGTCTGCGCATCCCATGGCCCCGAAACCTGCTCATCCCTGGGGTCCTGCCCAAGCCCTGCGCAGGGCAGAGCCAGCCGTGGTGTGGCCATGGCCATGGCAGCAGCACTCACGGTGGTGAAGTTCTCGGGGCCGCAGTCCCGGCCGCGGAAGCGGCAGCGCAGCAGCATCTCATGGATGGGGTGCCCGGCGCGCTGGTAGAAGGCGCCCAGGTCGTAGCTCTTGCTGGGGAAGAAGCCCTCGAGGCTCGGGGTCCGCCCCAGTGCGTGCAGGTAGCGGGGGATGTCCTCGGTCCCCACGGCCAGCAGGTCCCCCCCCAGCCAGAACAGGTCGTTGAGGGTGAGCTGGGAGCGCCGGATGCGGTTGTAGTTGCAGAGGGTGACGGCAGGGAAAGCGAGCACGCGGCTCTGAG